TTATTATTATTATTATTATTATTATTATTATTATTATTATTATTATTTATTCACAAAAACTTCAGTGTACTCACCAAATGAGATAACTATGCTGGGCTTCATATCACAAATCACTTATTTGTGATAAGTTGTTTATTATTATTGTTGTTGTTAACAAAAAACTACAGTGTATAAAGCAAACGAGATGACTATGCTGGGTTTCTTATCACAAATCACTAGTCAAACACTTCCCAAGCATTTAGGGCTGTGTGATGTATTGGCATATTATTATTATTATTATTATTATTATTATTATTATTATTATATCTTTAGTGAGATTCACAGCTTTGGGGGCTGGTTGGTAGCTCAACAGCTCGAGTCCTAACCAAGGACCTAGGAACTGTTCAGGTAGCGTCAGATGATGTGATGATGATCACCGTCACCATCAACATCGTTATTATTTTCCAGTAATATCTTTTAAAGCTGGATCTATTGTGGAAAGGCAGGGAGGTGGGTTAGAAAGCTTCTTTGGTACGGTGTCCAGAACCGCCGGTGCAGGGGGCGGATAGATAGCCCACCCTCGCCACCCTTGAGTGGGTCACAGATTCACAGATTTGGCCCAGTTCACACGTGATGCCGAACCCAGGTTAACCAAGCCCCGGCTGGCTTTGTCACAACAATCCTGCGCCCAATTCCAACCAGGCTTTTAAAACATCTGGCATGTCCCACCCGACTGAGCTATTCTCTGTTTCTATTCCCACCCCACGTCCCCAGCCCTGAGTTTTAGGGCGCCCAGAGATGGCATCCATAGAGGGAAAATTTAAACAGCACCGCCCCACCGATCTTCTTCCTTCTATCTGGATCCTAATCCTCACGAGAAGTTAACCACGATTGGCAAACTCTCTTTCCTTCATTTCTGCCCACTCCATCCCTTCCCAACATTTAAAAACTTGGCCAAGTCAAAACCCGGTAAATATTTTGATTTATTTTTTCCTTCTGGGCTGTTTTTGTGTCGACAGACACTCCAATGCCTCAATTTTGGGGCACGGGGTAGAAATCTCTCAAGATTGGACTCCCACCGGTCAGAAATGGTGTATAGTCTCCGGCTTGGGCAGGGGGTTGGGCTAGATGACCTACAAGGTCCCTTCCTCCCACTCTGATTATCGGTTGTCTATTAAACGAGTGGCACCCTTCGGGCATTTAGCAGGAACTAGAAGTAGTCCTCAACATAGGGCCACAGGGGAACCCAGAATTTATGTTGCTAACTGAGACATTTGCGAAGTGTCTCCCGCTGGAGAAGGGAGCGGGTTGGACTAGATGACCTACCGAGGCCCCCTCCCACTCTTGTTATGCTATTTTCTATTCACATGTCCCAAGGGGAGTTTGGTTCCCATTTTTTATGAAATTTCCTGCCTCCTCCCCCCCCCCGCCGGTCGTTAAGGGCATCCCCCGCCCTTGTTATCTTAAGTCATTAAGTGAATCTTCGCTCATGATGGGGACACCGTCATAAATACGAGTCGGTTGCGCCCTTTGGAACGGCCCACCGGACGAAGGGCGTGTCTTTGGACCTTTCCCCTTGTACGATGGGTCGATTGGGGTGGAAGTCTTGGTGGCTTTTTCCTCCACCCCCCCCCCCCAGGGGGGTGGAGGGGGCAAAGTTTTCGATTGGACTCTGGCAACACCCAGCCCACCCCACGGATTAACCCTGCCCTCCTTCGCTGGGGGTGTGTGAGGTCATCTGGCTCGCCCAACTGGCTGCGCCGTTTCTGGGAAATCTTTGAATTGCTTTCGTTTGGCCAATGGCTTTTTTTTTTTCCTCTCCAACATGGGAGGTTTTTTTTTCTCCAGAGGTCTGAAATCGTGTAGGGTCTCCTCCTTGAGCAGGGGGTTGGACTAGATGACCTCGGAGGCCCCTTCCAGCTCTGTTATTCTGTTATTCTCCTTCCTTCTGTCTCCCTTTTTCCCCTTTTCTGTTTCCCTTCCCCTCTACTTCCTTCCTGCTGGCCTTCCTTCTCATTTTCTTTCCTTTCTTCCTCCCTTCCTCCGTCCTTCCTTTCTTTTCTCTTTCCCTTCTCCTCTTTCCCTCTTTCTCTCTTCCCTCCTTCCTTCCCTCCTTCCCTTCATCCCACCTTTCTCGGCTTCCCTTCCCTCTACTTCCTTCCTTCTCATTTTCCTTCCTCCCTCCCTCCCTCCCTCTTCCATCCTTCCTTCCCTTTCTCTTTCCCTTCCCCTCTTCCCTCCTTCCTTCCCTCCCTCCTTCCCACTTTTCTCTGTTTTCCTTCCCCTCTACTTCCTTCCTTCCTGCTTGCCTTCCTGCTTGCCTGCCTTCCTTCCTTCCTTCCTTCCTTCCTTCCTCGTCACTTCCTCCTGACCAAGCTGGGGGGCGGGTTGGACTGGATGACCTCCAAGGCCCCTTCCAACTCTTGTCATTCTCTATTATTTGAGCCGAGTCACACACAGATACTTTGGCCCGGGTGTTCCTTGAAGAGGCATTGGTGTGCGAGTGTGTGTTTGTTTTCCCGCTCTCCGCTTCAACCCTGCAGCCCCTGAAAAAAAATATATCACCTGGTGATGCCCCATCCAAGCAGACTCTAAAGAGCTTCCCACATTGGCTGCCACTGCACCCTCCTCCCCCACAAAGATCTCACCGGAGGGGATGTGGGGGGCGGGCGAAGGAGGCCGAGAGCCTCAGGTTGGCATACCTGGCTTGTGTTGCCCCGCCCCTGTTTCCCAGCCTGGCAGCACCTAGGTGTGTGTGGCGGCGTGTCGCTAAGACGGCACCTGCCGATTGTCCCCAGGTGTCCTGGGTGTGCAACGCGGAAGGAGGAGGAGGGGGCGGCTGAGGCGGCTGTTTGTGCATGCGTTCAAAGCCCTCGGGGCGGGGGGGGTGGCAGAGGAGGGGGGGGCGGGCGAGGCCGTGCACACCTAGCGAGCTCCCAGGTCTTATCACTCCAGGTAAGCGGGAGGTGTGTGTGCTGCACCCCTTTGAACCCTAGACCCAGGATAGCCTCGGCTTCTCTCTCTCTCTCTCTCTTTCTTTCTCTCTCTCTCTCTCTCTCTCTCTCCACATCCTCACCTGGAATTCACTTCTTCAGGTTTTCTTTCTTCCCCTTTTCTATAATTTAAATTGACTTTGGAATCCCTGCTCTGTTGGAAGAAGCTTAGCCTCTGCTTTTATTTTTTATCTATATCTATCTATCTATCTACCTACCTATCTATCTATCTGTCTATCTATCTATCTCTATCTGTCTATCTTTCTTTCCTTCTTTCTTTCTTTCTTTCTTTCTTTCTTTCTTTCTCTTTCTTTCCTTCTTTCTTTCTATCTATCTTTCTTTCCTTGTTTCTATCTATCTTTCTTTCTTTCTTTCCTTCCTTCCTTCTTCCTATCTATCTATCTTTCTTTCTTTCCATCTATCTATCTATCTATCTTTCTTTCTTTCTTTCTTTCTTTCTTTCTTCTTTCTTTCCTTCCTTCCTTCCTTCCTTCCTTCTTCCTATCTTTCTTTCTTTCTTTCTTTCTTTCTTTCTTTCTTTCTTTCTTTCTATCTTTCTTTCTTTCCTTCCTTCCTTCCTTCTTCCTACCTTTCTTTCTTTCTTTCTTCTTTCTATCTATCTATCTATCTATCTATCTATCTATCTATCTATCTATCT